AAAACCGCTAGAGTATTCTCTAAACTTATTTCTTACACAAAACCCAAATAAAAGCATTGTAAGTTGCCACTTAATTGCTAGCGTGATCGAGCTTTAAATTTATAAGTCGATGCACACTCTTTATTCAATCCTTACTAAGCCCAGCGTAACCTAGCTAGGGTTGTAGTAAAGTGACTTGGTCGTATTCCAAGAGAACCCTAAGCTTACTATCACTTTGCTATGAACTACTATCTAATCGAATCAAAAGTTTGGTGAAGAAGCAAACCTAACCTACTCCTAAACAACCAACCAAGTGGTTGAGAGTTCTCTAGAGATGAATCGGTTGCCTAGGGTCCAATTCTCCTAGCTATGGTTTTCATGTAAGGTTAAGAGAATACGGTGATCGAGCTCTTTTCTGTGGGTTTCGTGATTATTTACACGCCTCTGAGTATGCCATGCGTGCCCCGTTTTCACCTTGGTATAAGCTCACATATCTAGGGTTTTAAGAGCCTAGCTCTTTTCAATGAGTACTACCCACCGTACACACCGAGGTTTCATCCTGGGTTCCATCTAGGAAGGCGTTCTTGTGGCAGGGGTTTGGTCGCCTCATCCACCACAAGACCATATTCTTTCATCTAACCCTAATTTGCAATATGGTGAATACTCGTCTAACCCTAAAACTCCATTCCCAGCATATAGAAGCTCAAGTAGGCTAGTAGAGAAGATTAGGTCGATTTACCCAAGCACAATTAAAACTAGATAAAGCATTAAAATCAACTAGACAAATACATTCATGCAAAACCTATACATACACAACCTATAAACTAGGGTTCATCTTCCCTAAACAAAAATGAGAGATTCAAGTCATAGAGAGAGAAAGAAAACATAAACTAGAAGAGAGGGAGTGATGGAATCAATCTTCTTCTCCTTGCTTGCACCTTCTTCTTGCTCCTTAAGTGGATTGGATCTTCAATGAAGCTCTCCCAAGGTGTTTCCCTCTCTAAAAACACTCCAAAATCCTAACTTTCTCACTCTAGGTCGGCTCTCTTTTATCAAGTGCAGAAAAAGGAGTATTTATAGGTTGCTGGCAATGGTTACGACCTCGAGAGCATGACCACGGTCGTGACCTAGCCGTGACCAACTAGAACGTCGCCGACTCACCCAAAACTTCGCGTTTTAACATCGTATTTAAGCTCTGAGGTTTCGGTCTCCTTCATAAGATCGCGAGTTCGCGACTATGATCTTAGTATCACGAGCGTGATCTTTTTTGCTGTCAAAATGCAACATGTTTGTGATTCAGGTGTTGAAACTTTCTCCCTTCTTTTTGGTCATCTACTGAAGTTCGTGGTCACTATTCATGATCGTGATCTTTAGGCCACGAACATGGTCACGACCGTGACCTGTGCCCTTTTCTACCCTTTTTACTCCTATGTTTCCCAATTGTGTCAGATGAACTCCAATAGATTCCCAATCAATCCGGGACAAATATAAAACCTGGAATTTCATCACAAACACTGGGAAAAGCATAAAATACGACAAATTGGGATCGATTCACCTATGAAAACCTTCATATCAAGAATACCTATGTAAAATACATGTTTTGCAAATAGGAACAAAACTAGGCATAAATAACTTGATATGTGGACTAGACATGGTGATTTAACATGCAAATGCCTTAAGAAAAAGGGCTAAATAATGTCTATTTTAGGTGTTATCAAACTCCCCCACACTTAAGCGCCCCAAGCAAACCTAACTCAAACTTGTACAACTTGCAAGATAAATCACAATGGCATGCATAATAGATCATCGGTAGAGGGTCAACTAGCAACTTTTGAGGTCAGCCGGTCATTAAGAATTCTATCACCGATCTCTACGTGAAAACACACTTCCGAATGGGGACCTTACCACTAAAGAGGTCTAGAGTCTAGACATCAAAGGTGTGCACCGGGGGATTTCTCACAAATGAATAAGACCATGGAGTCTAGAAGGTGCTCTTTATTCTTTCTTTTTTTTTTCAAGGTAGGAGTTGTCATTTATCGGTCTCCAGTTTCAACGTTAACACGCATTGCACCAAAAATTTTGAATTTTTTTGCTAATTGATATCTTTCCCTCATAACCAAGACCAGATGGATCATTGTATTCCCAATCAAGGTCATGTGTGGGGAAGTTGATGGGCAAATTCATGTTAGTCGAGCACCACTTCCCAGCCTGCACTCCATATTGGGTTGTCACACATGTTGGGTACAAATGAGAGTTGAGGTCTATTGAATCGTTAAAAGGTACTTTGTACCTTGTCATACGATTTGGTGAGGAAGAGAGGTGTTTGGGGGATGGTGAGTAGTGAAAGATGATCGGGATGTGGTAAAGCTATCTGGTCCTCAAATGCATCCTCAAATGGGCACTCCAAACCAAGAGAAAAACCCATTGACGGTTTATCTCAAACACTATGTTCGGTTGCCTCTCACGTGATAACCTCTTTTTCAAATGATTTTTCAAAATTGAGCACACTTTTTCAAACATTTTGAGTCCGAAAGTAAGTAAAGAATCTCACACACATATCCTAACCTAGATAGTGGACAACATAAACACATTCAAGGAGGACATCTTAGGGCAAATTCCTCACTTTCAACATCTTCCGTAGCGCTACACTATACTCCCTATCATGCACAACATCACAATCATCTAACAATTCAAAGCACATTGAGTATGGACAATGCAAAAGGGCCAACTTGGAGCCTTCAAATATGAAAACATTTGGGCATGCATACAAGGCTTCAAGTGGTTGAATCATACTAAATCATCGTCCACAATCACTCTAAAGCACACTCTCTCTCGATCAAGCATTCAAACATTCATGACATAAGAGAATATAATCAATAACAACATTCCACACAGGCATTCATGCATACCCCCCCCCCCCCACACACACACACCTAAGGAATACATTGTCCTCAATGTGAGAAGGGTATGAGGATAGGGGAACGAAGTTACCAAAATGCTTAGCCGAAGTAATTGTGGGATTGAAGGGTATGGTGGGTGGGTTGATCTCCTCCCAAAGTTGAGAAATCGCCTTTTTGGACTCAGTCTCTTGACCTCTAGGTGACACTTTTAGTTGTTGTTTATGTTCTTGATCATGATGTAGTAGCGATCGAGGCTCAAATTGTTGTGTGGAGTTTCGAATGGTCCGATCCCTCCATTGATTGGAAGTTTGAAGTTAAAACAAGGGTGCAAAGTGAAAATCAATGTCGGATTATGTAGTTAACAATCTTGATTCATTGATTCAATTGACAATATGTAAATCTAGGGGTTTTAATGCCGCAGCCAAAGGCAATAGACAACCTAAACGAATAAGGTAGGGGTATGGATCGATTGTTCAAAAATCATATCAAAGTGGTAAGCTTTGTTGAGCAAAGGGGCCATACACCTTATACCAATCGATCAAGATTCGAAACTATCCCTCAAACGTGCTTTTTAGGGGTCTAGCATAAGCATTAAAGTTCATTTGTCATTCATCAAAAGCATAAATGATGTGGTTTGGGCATTTTATCGAGCACTTGGTGGACTATAATCAAAACTATCATACAATTCATGCCCACGAAGGCCTCCAAACCACACATTCGTTCATAAATATGCAACACACAACAACACATCAGCATTTCATCATTTTCCCTTCACCATATTCCATTAAAGCTCATTTTTAACTAGGGCAATGTCATTTACTACTACTTACACTACAAATAATCCTAAAAACATAATTCAAACATGCAAGTTCTTTATTGAAAGGTAAGGGAAAGAAAAGTCAAATCGATGTTGGGGGTGCCTCCCAACTAGCGTGTCTTTTAGGTAATTTCACCGGAACGTTGTTTTCAAGTTCTCGATCCAACTTAAGACCTCCTTGAAGTTGAGGTTTTCATCGGTCAAGTGGAGTCTCAAGTCTTGATCAGTCTCCCGATCATTCGTTGAAGGCTCATGTAGATGAAAATGCTTAAGACACCTCCAATGAAACCTCTCTTCAAATCTTCTTTTTTTTCTTTTTGCCTCTAACCAAATCAAGAATTATTGAAAGGTTATCACCGAGTCTTCCAAGAAGGATTGATGATGCATCGGCCTCATCTTGGCAAAGAGAACCCGCAAAAGTATCCTTCTCTAAGAGTGTAACAAGGTCGGGCAGATAACTTTGGTAGCACAAGTAACTTGTAGAAGCTTCATCCACTTTGACCTTGTCTATTGGTCGGACTCCAATTGCGTCTTCAACCTCCTCTCCTTTTTGTGAAGAATCTTATCCATGTTGAATACCAAGCTCTTCATATTCTTCACTTTCTTATTTCTCTCTCACAACCTCGTCAATGCCCCTTCTTTAGTCCTCTCTTCTTGATGATTGGGATTAGGGCTATCAATATGGTTTTCATTTTTTGGTTTTAACCGAAACCAAACCAATTAAAAAGTTAATGGTTTGGGTTTTTCGATTTTAAACCATTTAATATCTTAATGGTTTTGGTTTCAGTTAAAATCGAATAACCAATAAAACCAAAGCAGACCAATAACAAGGCAGCAACTACGGCTAATCACCGCCTCCACTCCTCGTACCTCTTCCTCTAATCAATTGGATTAACTCACCTGAGGCCAAACTGAACCTCCTCGTCGGCTACTACAACAATTGCTGAACCTCCTGATTCGGCCGCCGCTGCCCCTTCATTTCTGGCGGAGCCACCTTCATCCTGGTCGTCGTCTTCCTCATAGGCTATGCCGCCGGCGATGACCTCTCCATGCCCGCCAAGCCGCATGCCATCTCCGTCTTTGTCGTCGGTTTTTGGATCCTCGACGTGGCTAACAAGTTAATAACACGCTTATGGCCCCTGCCGCGCCCTGCTTGCCGATTTGTCCGGCACCAGCCATAAGAAGACACGTATCGCCAATTCTTTCTTCTCCTTTTTTCCTTGCCGTCGGTAACGTCCTCGGTTACGCCGCCGGTAGCTACAACAACCTCTACAAGATCTTGTTCACTAGGTCCGAAGCATGCGATGTCTAATGTGCCAATTTGCAATCCTGCTTCTTCATCTCCAACACCCTTCTCCTCTTCTTTGCTAGCATCGCTCTCTATTACGTCACTGAATGGCCCATTGCCTCAGACGGTAAATTTCTCACCCAAGCCGGCGAAGACGAAGACGAGGATGAAATTAAGAAGTCAACGGCTTAATAACATCAACCTCAGCGCCATCGATCCTTCATTGGAGTTGGAAATTCGGAATGCGCTGTTCTCCCCTGTTTGTTGAAGTCGTTGGTTTTTGGTTATCCAAACCAAAATTGAAACCGTTAAAAGTGTTATTGGTTTTCGGTTAACCAAAAACCATTAAAATTCTAAATGGTTTTGGTTATGGTTTTTTAATATACCTGATTTGGTTTTTTGTTTTTTATGCTTATGGTTTGGTTAACCAAACCAAACCATATTGACAGCCCTAATTGGGAGCAAAGATGGTTTTACAGGCAAGTTCTTCAATGTATGGATCTTCAAGGTCCACTAGCTTGTCCACCTTTGAGACTTCTTCCTCTTCTACTACTTCCTCTTTTGCTTAATTCTTGATGTTGAAGAGGATCTCTTGATTGAGTCTCGAGCAAAGTTGCTTAATAACTCTTCCGTTCTTCTCTATCCTCTTGAGCATCTCTTCTTGTTTTTTGAGGAATTCTTGAGTAGAAGGGTCGGGACTTCCCTTGATGCAAGATGTCCCTATGATCCCCAACTCTTGGAGCCACCATTCCTCTCGTTTAACATCTTTAATCCGAAAGCAACCCGGAGGAAGATTGGGATCCCTAACATCTAGGCACTCCATTGGGATGTTGGAGTGCTCTAATGCTAAATCTACAAGGCTCTTTGGTGTAGGTGGTGGTTAATGATGAAGTGCATCCCACTCCCGGTCATGAGTTTTTCTAATTCGATCTCCAATATGCTCTCTGGTTCCGGGGTTGGGTTTGAGTGAGTTGTCTTAGGACCATCTAGATATAGCACTCACCTTAAGTCGCTCAATGTTCATCTCCAACTCGGTCTTCACCATAGGTTGTGGAGGTGGCTCTTGGTATAATCGCGGAGATGCTTGGTAAGCATGAGGATACCGTTGATAGGCATGGAGAGGTGGTTGTTCTTGAAACTGGGATCCTTGCTAGACCTGCTACTAGAAGCTTTGGGATACCACCAATCAGGCCTTTGGTGATCTCCCCACTCCTCAAGCCAACTATATGGATCCATTATTCACAAACTACAAACAACAAACACGCTAAAAAAAACAATCAAACACACACAAACCACCCCTCAAGGAGAAAGGAGGGTGAAAAGCAATGACAACACAAAAAGAAAAAGAAAACGGCACCAAAAACTTGATGCTACACAAAACACGAAAAACCAAACGAATGATTAAACTAGTAATTCTTGGGTTTTCCTAATAACCTAAGACTACCCGGCAACGGCGCCAAAACTTGATCGCTTGCGTGAACGAGCTTTAAATTCATAAGTCTATGCACACTCTCTATTCAATCCTAACTAATCCAAGCATAACCTATCTAGGGTTGTAGTAAAGTGGCTCGATCATATTCCAAGGGAACCCTAAGCTTACTATTACTTCGCTCTGAACTTTTATCTAATCGAATCAAAAGTTTGGTGAAGAATCTAACCTAACCTACTAATAAACAACCAATTAAGTGGTTGGGAGATCGCTAGAGATGTGACAGTTGTCTAAGGTCCAATCTTCCTAGATATGGTTGTCATGTAGGTTTAAGAGAATATGGTTAGTGAGCTCTTTTCTGTAGGCCTTCGTGATACGCTCTGCCTGCCCCATTTTCACCTCAGTATAGGCTCACATACCTGGGGCTTTAAGAACATGCACAATCATCATGAAAAATAGCTCAATCATTATATTAAACAACACGCATAAACAATCATTCAATTCACACAACAACTACATGGCAAATAGTTAGGGTTTCACAACACCCAAGTGAAAGAGGAAACTACTCCATGCTAGAAAGGGGAAGAACATAAAAGAAAGAAGTAGAAACCATCATGGTGATGCCTCCACTCTCCTTTGATCTTGTGTTGATCTTCTCTTGGGGAGATTCTTCCTTCTTCTTCCTTGGTTCGTCCTTTCTCTCTAAAATCTGAAGAAGAAGATGATCTCTCACACTTTTGGGCTCCCTCTCTCTTCCTTTCAGGTCATATTTTATACTGGGATCGGGCTCAGTTCACAGCTGTGAACTCCTCAACGCGTCCGTGAACTCGGCGTGCTTTGTCGCAACGCATCTCTTCACTCACTTGAGTTCACGGCCAACAGCTCTAGTTCGCGGTCCTGGTGGCGAAGGTTTTGGGTGTTCTAATCTTAGTTGAGCGCATCCGAGAGACCATAGTCCATAAAGTCTGGAAATCGTGGAGGCTAGGGGCGGATCTAGGGGGTGGCCACCCCGGGCCACGGCCCAGTCCTCCTCTAGATCCAGAGCTAGTATACCCTTTATGAATTTTTTGATATTAGATATTCGGTCAGTGTTATTTTACAATAAAATTGTGTGTAACGAGAAAAATGGTTCAAACGAATATATTCAAATCTCTACCCAAATTTAGCCTAGAAATTCTAACCCCAATGATTATCGCCTTATAAAAAACAATGATGCCTTAAAGACTAAAAGAAATATGAGGTTTGTTCCCTTGAAAAATTACTAGAGCAGCTGGTGTAAATAGGGATGGACACACAATACAAATTGATTAGTCGATTGATTTGTCTAGAACCTTTTCATCACTTATTTGCGCAACTTAATGAGTGATGAGTTTCTCGTCGATTGTTTAGCTATTTTTTACTAAAGATAGTATGCTATTGGTATGTATGTAAATTTCATTATTGAAGAATTTACTAATTAAAAGACCTTCGTGTACAATTGACATTGTACAAAAATTATGGCTATTATATATTTTTTTATGGTATTTAATTTTCTTAAAAAATGTGGTCCAGTGCTCTACTATGTTCTGGATCCGCCGCTGGTGGAGGCGAGCCGATATGTCGATGGTGTGGTCGTAGGAAGAGGCCTGGTGGCAGTACGAAGGGTGGTGGGAAAGAAAATAGAAAAATTGCAGAGTTTCTGGATCGTGGTTCAAAAGGCGTTTCATGATCCTATTGACAAGCTTCGTACTCCATTCAATGGACTGCGAGTGGAGCGTCTGGGCCAAGGTCCGCCGGTCGGACAAATTAAGAATTAGGAAAGTTAGAAAAGCAGCATTCAGTGTCGGCGACGGCTCGGTGGTGGTCGTTTGGAGTATGCTTCGCCGGTCTGATGGCCTGAGAATGAGAGAGCTCAAGGGAACATATGTTTGTGATCGTGATTGATCGACGACAGAAGTGGTGGTGAAGGTTTCATTGGAAGGAGGCGGTGGAGAGTCCACCGGTGGCAATGGTTTAGGGCAGAGAGCCGATTCAGCATGGTGGACAATTCTTTTCCCCGACTTTTTTTTTAGAATGAAAGATAGAAAAGGATCAAGTAATTATTAGTTAAATCTTTCAAAGTTTTTAGAATTTTGAATTATAAAGTACTAGTAAATTCTTTTTAACACAACAAAATATAAGTCATTTGTATGTTATTGTTAATAATTTTATAACTCTTTTTTAACTATAATACTAAAATTTGGAACGTTGACCGTAACAGCTCATCTCAGAAGAAGTAATTCTCGACTAGCAATCGGAAATGGTACCTGCTCTTCAGAGGAGGAGGAAGAAGAATTGAATAGAGACGTTAGAATAAAGGAAAAGTAAGAGAGGGGGGAAAATGTGGTAAAGAACAAGAGAAGAGAGCAAAGTAAGTGTTTTTTTATTTTAGTTGTTCTAACCTTTATACAAATTTTGAAAAATTATCAATTGACCCCAAAAGTCTTCTACCTCATTAAAATTCACTCCAGTCAAACAACCGCTCTTTTACCTTTGTAAACCCCACTCTAATATTTTCATGACGCGTTTGGTTGGTGTTTTTTTTTTTTTTACAAAAGATAATCATGTATTGATTCAAATAATAGATAGTTACATCCTGGAGTTCAGCCAGGCCGGAAAACCAAACAAACGACTCATAGTCGAGTACAAAGAAAGGGCCTTATGAGCCACCAAGTGGGCTACCCTATTGCTATGCGACCTACAAATCGTACACTAAATCCCGGATAACTATCAAAATACTGAACGACCTCATGAAGAATAGCCCCCATTCGACTGTCCCTGGTATCGGCCCGCAGGATCTTGTCAATAATCACTTTTGCATCGCCTTCAAACCTCATTTCAGTAAAGCCATGGGCGAGGCACCATAACACCGCTTCGCGAAGAGCAAGTAATTCGACCACCATGGGATCATCAATCATAGTGAACTAGACTCCACTCGCATAAATGATATCCCGAGCTTGGTTCATGATAACCATCCCTCTAGCTTAATGAGAACCTCTTTTGGTCGCCCCATCCCACATACAAACAGCCAAATGCGCCTCATTAGGACTCGACTGCTGCCCACGTGGGACGACAAGGAGGGTACCCTAAATTTAGTTATGTTTCTCTTTTATTTTTAAGTAAATAAAAATTTATTAGTCAAACCTTTCAAAGTTTTCAAATTATTAGCCAAAATTTGCAAAATACAAAAACATAAGCTAAATGTTAACTCCCTGTTAGGAGTTTTGTTAGTAATGCTGATTTCGTAACATGATGTTGAGTTGGAAGAGACATGTTACGGTCAACACTCCAAAATTTTAGTATTTTAATTTAAAAAAAAGAGTTATAAACTTATTAACAATAACATACAAATGACTAATATTTTGATGTGTTAAAAATAATTTACTAGTACTTTATAATTCAAAGTTTTAAATTAATATTTTAAAGAACTTTGAAAGATTTAACTAATACTTACTTGATTCTTTTCTATCTTCCATTGTACAAAAAATCAGGGAAAAGAATTGCACGCCATGTTGAATCCGCTCTCCTCGTCAAACCATTGCCACCGGTGGACTCTCCTCCGTCTCCTTCCACCAAAAACCTTCACCACCACCTCTGTCGTCGATCAACCGCTATCACGAACTTCAATAAGCTCATACAACATGACTCATTAATGGAGTATCAAGAGGGATTTGAGGAGTTGAGGTCACAAATGATTCGCTACAATCATGCTTTAAATGAAGAATATCTCATTTCTAGCTATCTTAGTGGTCTAGAGGAGGAACTCAGACCTTTCACGACCATGTGGTAACCTTAGTCCCCTAGCTCATGCGTTTCAGCTA